ACTAACAGAATTTTTTTTAGCTTTAATTCCCTGGAAATGGCTTGCAAATTCAAATTTGGATCCGAATCTCCGGTGACGTCACGCACGACGGAACTTCCGCGCATGCGCAGATGCCAACTGGAGCCGCTACTGCCCATCCTGTCTCGCCCCCACACATCACAAACAGACAAGACAGCGGGGAGCTGGCCGAGGTGAAAAGGACATCGTGTTGCATGACAGAATAAATGTCAGTCGAAGTACCGCAGCGCTGAATACTGAAAAATGGCCTGGCCAGGAAGGGGGTGTAGACACCTGGTCTTTAAGTGGTTAAGTACTTACCTTAAATCAGTGGTTCTCAACCTGTGTAACCCTAGGACCCACATTTTGTCCTTGGACATTAAGTGGCGACCCAAGTTGCACTGCAATGGAACGCACCGTGTTGTGGTACCGCGTGTTCCGGTGTGGGCGATCCTCAGCTTGGGGTCCAGTACTGGGCTGCTCCATCCATACATGCATTGCTTGCACAACTCCCTTGTGCGCCCTGTAGAGGTGCTAGGAGCCAGAATGTGACGTCACTCCGATCCAGGCACCTCTACAAGGTCACGTGAGGGAACTCTAAGCAATGCATGCATGTATGGATGAAGCTCCCTCGTGGCCATAGATCCAGCCCACCCCACCTCAAGCGGACACTTCGCACCAGGCAGCATATTCTGAATGGCTGCCCAGCGCAAGAACTGATATTGCTACGCTAGAGGGAGGCTGAGGAGCCTCTCACATAGAACAGTGGAAGGCATGCTGCGACCCACTGAAAACGGGGTCGCGACCCACTTTTGGGTCACGACCCACCAGTTGAGAACCAAGGCCTTAAATGATGCCTCTTGATCCGATCATCTTCTTTCCAGTAGTTTTCAGCAAACCCTCCAGCGCTGGTGCCGGTCTCTGTTCCAGCGCTGGCTGCTGTGTCTTCTGTCGTTCTGCGTGCAGGCTCCCGGCTGCGTGTATTGACTTACACTGTGTCTCTCCTCTTCTCCCGGCCGAAGATCTCTACTGCGCATGCGTCCGCCACATGATCCTTCACGGCCACTTGAGAATCTTCAGACAGGAGCGAGCCACACAGGTAAGTTTTTTTTGTTTTGTTACCTATTTGGTAACTTTTTAAAAAAATGTTTTTGCATATATCTACAGCTTCCTATAATTAAACAGAAGGTTTAATTATACTTTAACCACCCTCCCATCCATGGCCAATCCTGAACAGCTGGACGGAAGTCTTGTAGGAGCGGTAGGGCGTCTTAAGACGTCCTAGATGGCTGTTTACATTCAATCGATTGGGTGTCTCTAGAGACGCCGATCGCTTGTAGTAGGTGCGGGTGTGCGCCTCTTCCCCGCCGTCGCCGATAGTCCCGAGATCCACTGTGCTGCTGGGACCGGCATGGCGACTGTCAGTGGAGATCAGTACACTATATCCCTTTGTGATCTCCTTTCCGGTCCCTGAATGCAGAAAGTGATGTATAGTACATCACTTCCGCATTCAGTGTCGCTCTCCGGCAACAGATGCCGGTGAGAAGCTGCTGAAGTGAGATCTCTGCTTCATCAGCTTCTCTGGGGGTCCCTAGGTGACATTAGGGGTCTTGGAGACCCCTGATGTCTCCATAAAGAGAACCTGTTATGTGAATTAGCTATCACATAGGGGATTGCTATCACATAGGGGATTTCTTAGCCCCCTATGTAATAGCAATAAAGTTAAGTTAAAAAAAAATAAAGAAGCTTAAGAAAATAGTCACAAATAGAAAACATTTTTAAAATAACAAATGTTTTAAAGTCCTCCCGCCCCCCTACATACACGCAAACATGCGTTGGATGCCCCTACGTGCTAAAACGGGAATTCTGCCTATTGTGCCGCACATGTTACATATCGCCGCGAACAGCGGAGTGAGAGCAATAATTCTAGGGCCATTAATTACTGATAACGGTAAACTGATGAGCGGTTAAAGCGTCGCCTATGGCTAATTTTGGGCAGGGTAGTTTTCTGCGATTTCGCGGGTGTGCAAAATTGTAAGGCTTGACTTGTTTGGTGTCTATTTACCTGACGTGACCCCCCATCTTTTTATATTTTACCAAAACATTGGGGTGATAAATGTTTCATAACATTTCATAGGGAAACAGGTTTTTTTCAAAATGTAAAACCTTTTTTTGTTTTATAGTAAAAAATAAAACCCCAGTGGTGATTAAATACCACCAAAAGAAAGCTCTATCTGCCCCCAAAAAATGGTATTAAATGAGTTTCAGTACAGCGTTGCATGACGGAATAAACATCAGTCAAAGTACCGCAGCGCTGAAAAATTACCTGGCCAGGAAGGGGTTTTAACACCCTGGTCTTTAAGTGGGTAACAGTTTAAAAAAAAAAAATCACATTGCTTTTGCTGTTTATTGAAAGGAACCAACAAGGTTGGAGTATTATAAAAAAAAAACTTGCTGCTTAACCACTTGAAGGCCATAGTGATTCACCCCCTTCCTGGCCAGGCCATTTTTCAGTATTCAGCGCTGCGGTACTTTGACTGATGTTTATTCCGTCATGCAACGCTTTACTGAAACGATTTTCATACCATTTTTTGGGGACAGATAGAGCTTTCTTTTGGTGGCTTTTATTCACCACTGGGGTTTTTATTTTTTACTATATAACAAAAAAAGTACCCTAAATTTTGAAAAAAAACATGTTTCCCTATAAAATGTTATGAAACATTTTTTTTCACCCCAATTTTTTGGTAAAATATAAAAGTCGGGGTCACGTCGGGTAAATAGACACTAAACATGTCAACCTTTAAAATTGCGCGTGCCCGCAAAATCGCAGAAAACGACCGCAGCCAAAATTGGCCATAGGCGACGCTTTAAACGTTTTTACCGCTCATCAGTTTAGTGTCATCAGTGATTGATGGCCCTAGAATTATTGTTCTCACTGCGACGTTCGCGGCGATATGTAACATGTGCTGCATAATGGGCGCAATCGTCGGTTTCGTACATAGGCGCACCCGACGCATGTTTGCGTGTGTATCTGGGGGGCGGGGGACTTTAAAAAAATGTTTGTGTTATTTTTTTTTATTTTTTTTAGCTTCTTTATTTTTTTTAGCTTCTTTATTTTTTTTAATGCTGTAATTTTTTTTTTTTGACTTAACTTTATTGCTATAACATAGGGGACTAAGGAATCCCCTATGTAATAGCCAGTTCACCAAACAGGTCCTCTTTATGGAGACATCAGGGGTCTCAAGACCTCTGATGTCACCTAGGGACCCCCACAGAAGCTGATGAAGCACAGATCTGCTCCATCAGCTTCTCTCCGGTGTTCTGCACCGGAGAGTGACACTGAATGCAGGAAGTGATGTAATATACATCACTTCCTGCATTCGGGGACAAGAAGAGAGATCAAAGGGATGATCAAGTAATGATCATCCCTTTGATCTCCTGTTAGAGCGTCGCCGTGCCGGTCCCAGCCGCACCGGCCACATCGGAACACGGGACCGGCAGCGGCGGCGAAGAGACGCGCAGGAGGAGGTACGGGGCGGGGGGGGGCGGCGCACACCCGCAGATCCTGCAAGCGATCAGGCGTCTCTAGAGACGCCTGACCGCTTGTATGTAAACAGCCATCGCTGGCTGTTTACATGCTGACGGTTTTCCCTCTCGTGTGCGGCGCTCAGCGCGGACACGAGAGGGGGGAGGGGCAGGACGTCTTAAGACGCCCTCCCGCTCTGAGCAGACGTCCATCTGGCCGTTCACAAACGGCCATGGACGTAAGGTAGTTAAAGCGTATTTCAACTTTTTTAGCCAAATTGGGATAACACCTATTTTAGGGCTTGTGCACACCAGATCTGCATGAGTTTCTGCACACGCAGTGCAGTGGGTTGTGCCGCGTTTTATGTCATGTTTTTTTGTCGCATTTTTGATGCATTCCGGGCTGTTTTTGGTAAACTTTTTTTAGTTTAAAATGAGCTTTCCAGGGCGTTTGTGATGAGTTTGCATGCGTTCCAGAGCAGGTAAAATGGGGCTGGCTGCCATTTTTTTACATGCTCTGGAATTGAACGCTGCGGTGGGAAATAGAGCCCAAAATACCATTGGAATACATTGGACGCAGTTTTGATCCGGTCTGTAACTGCTCTGCTCCTGGAACGCGCTTGGTGTGAACCAGGCCTTATACAGTATGTTTCTCATCTACATACCATTACTTAAAAAAAAATGAAAAATTGCTGTTTCATAAAACATTCTCAAAGAAAAGTTTTTCTCTCAGCTGAATTTTCCTCCGGAATTCAAGGGGGGTGGGGAAGGCAATGTTTGCAAAAAACTCCCTGCTGTACTGTGCTGCAGATCTCATTTTCAGCTGTCCTAAGAAAGGGTTAAAGATGTTGAAGCTTGGCTTCTTTCGTTGTATTTTATTCAGGGAGAGTGTAGTCTGTCTTTTTATTAGGACAGAGTTTCTAGTTACTAAATCTAAGTGAAAAGCTTGCAAAAGCCGGCACAATAGAGATCTCTAAACGTGATATATATATGCAAATATATATATCACGTATATATATATATAAAATGCAGTATTGCAGTGTGCAATGATACCTTTTTTATTGGACTAATAATGATCAGGTGCCAGCCGCTGCATGTACACGCCTGCATACCACATGTAATCGAATGTGATATGATTACATGCAGTTATAAAAACAATCACTATCCCTGGATACACAATTGTGTATCCAGGGATAGTGATTGTTTTTTAACTGCATGTAATCCTTTCACATATGATTAGATGCGTTGTGCAGGCGTTTACATGCAGCAGCTGTCACCCAATCATTAACTTGAATGGGTGACAGTTACCGCTTGTAACATGTGCATACATTAAAACTGGTACCGTATATAATAGCAGCCCCCACGGGACTAAAAATTTTTTCCAGTGGCCCCCGACTAAATTGAGTTTGAGACCCCTGCTTTAGATTGTCTTGTCTTGCAGTATACTATGTGGTTTAACTATACTCCTTTCTTTTTAGAATGTTGCACTTTATGCAGATGTAAATGGAAAGCAGTTCCCGGTTACCAGAGGCCAAGACATTGGGAAATACCAGGTATGAGAATAAGCGGATTACCTAAACAACCTATTAAATACTGTTCTTAGGCTCCATTCACATATAGCGATTGTGTTTCCCGCAGCGAAGACCTTGCGGGACGAAAACGCTAATATTTTTAAATCCGCATGGATGGAGCTTGTGTGCGGCTATTAAATAGCCCCAAACGTGCGGTATCCGCCTGATTATCGCGCTTGTACTATTCCAGGGGCTGGGCGGTTTCTGCAATGGTCTGAATAATGCGCGTTAAAGTGCATTGTAGTCTCTGTTTAGAGTGGCTACGCGCGTATCCGTACAGCTGATTACGCGCGGACAAATTTTTACCAAAGAGTAAGTAAGGGGAAATTTGCAGTAGGGAAACATAACAACAATAAAAAGCTGACAAATGTTCTAGCATTCCCCCACTTTACATTTATGAAAAAAAAAAAAAAAAGCATTTTTATTTTGGTCTGTGTTGCTGTCAGGCCTAGTTCACACAGGCGTGTATAAGAGCAGTGTGAACAGCGATCTCTTAAAGGAGAACTATGAGGTGAGTGCTTTTCAGCAGCAGCTCGCGGTATACTAAGGCGTCTCAGTATACCACGAGCTACAGCTCGCGGTATACTGAGCCTAGGGCGACGGGAGGACGCTAGTTTGTGTCCTCCGGTTACCCTAAGGAGAACTATGGGGAGAAGCCTTAACCCCATACTTCTCGTTTTAAAGGAGAACTATGAGATGAGTGATTTCCACTCACCTCATAGTTCTAGCTGACCTGTGACAATGAGACTGTCACAGGTCGGCTCAGTAGATCGGGAGGTGAGCGAACAAATACCAGGTTCGCTCACCTCTCGATCCTGTCACGGCTCTCTGCCGTGACAGGGGAGGGGCTGGATTCCCCTCTCCCCGCTCCGATCTGCCAGCGCTGACTGGCGGAACGGACGGGGAGGGGGCGGGTACAGCTGACTCTACCTCTAGATAGGCAGAGCCAGCTGTCACTCACGCAGCTGGGCGGGATCCGCTACGTCGGGATCCGCTAGTAAACAGGCGTCGGGTGCACCTATGCATGAAAACGACGAACGCGCTACACATGTTGGGTATCGCCGCGCACGCCGGAGTGAGAGCAATAATTCTAGGGCCAGTATTTTGGGGTATCTCTAAATTGATGACCTGTGGGGGCTTTTAAAGTGTCTTTTATTGACTTTTTGGGGTACTGCAATTTTTCGCCGTTTCACGGTCGCACGCAATCTGTAAACTGGGCATGTTGCATTTGTTGTGTTTTGGGGCATTTAATTAAATTTGTCACTAAATTTTGGGGTTTAATAAGGAGTTGCACTAATATTGCGCAACATAAAAATGTTCAACTACCACCATTTTATTCTATAGGGTCTTGGCATTCAGAAAATATATAATGTTGGGGGTTTTTACGTCATTTTCAGGCCTAAAATGTGGAATATAACATGGGTGCAAAAAATGAAAAAAGGGCCTCAGTCATGAAGGGGTTAAATATCATTTAGAAGAGCTTTCAGTATGTAAAGAGGTTAGCATGGAGGTCTGGCATACATAATTGATTGTGCCAAAACCTAGCATCTTTTTTTTCTTTTTTAAACTGTTGTCATGGAAGACCTCCCTAAAAAACATCTTTTCATGTTAACCCATTAAGAAATTGTGCAAGAATTTACAAGAAACAATTATTTTTTTTGTTTTTATGGAACACCACCTCAGCTTCCTGAAATGCTTCGCTGTAGAATATTAGGAAACCAAATGTATGCACAGAAAAAAATCTTAAATGAACATTCAAACAACACATTCCAAGGTTACTGTTCCAATAACATCTGAAAGTAAAAGACATTTTAGAAAGAGAACCTGTTGTTGTTATACTAACCTTAGCGTATTGCATCTAATAGTGATTTAACCATTAGTAACTCATATAATATTTTATTTTTCCCTATTACAAATTAAAGTCCCATCTGATCTGAAAGAAAGGAAGTATATGTTAGGGTGGACTAGAAAAGCTAAAAGATTATTGCAAATTTGCAAAAACTGTTATCTTGTCCACTGGATATAGCAGGGCCTGCACGTGTAGTCTATATTTACCAAATTGACAGTCACTGCCATTAAAATGTTTTGTTTTTTTTGTTTTGGCTAGAGTAGCAAAGGGGTAAATCCGGTTATTTTGCTTTCTTGTCCTGCTAGGAAGATTTTCCCCACTTTCTGTCTTTAAGATGCAACAGAAAGTGAGAAGAAATCTTTTTAACCACTTCCTAGCCAGAGCAATTTCTTACTATTTGCGCACACATGATCTGAATTTTTGGCTAGAAAACCGCTTCAGAGCCCCAAACAATTATATATTTCATGAAAGCAGAGGCACTGTAGAAAAAAAATGCTAGATGCAATTTTTTATGTCGCATGGTATTTGCTCAAATGTTTATCAAACCAGTATTTTTAGGTTAAAATACACTAAAATGAAATGAAGTGCACAGAAACAATATAAAACCCAATTTTTTGGTAAAATATAAAAGACTGTGTCATGCCGGGTATGTCAATCCTTAAAATTGCATGCGTCCGTGAAACCGCAAAAAAACTACAGTACCCAAAATTTCCCACAGGCGACGCTTTAAAAGCTTTTACTGCTCATCAATTAGTTTTACCAGTGATTGGCCCTAGAATTATTGCTTCCACTCCGATGTTCGCGACGATATGTAACATGTGTGGCGCAATTTTAGTTTTTGCACGTAGGCGCACTCAGCGCGTGTTTGCGTTGTATGTGCATGCATGTGGGGGGTCGTGGGACTTTACATTTTTTTTTTTTACACTCCACTTTATGGCTATCACATAGTGGCTAAGAAGCTCCCTATGTAATGGCAAATATAATGTGACAGGTCCTCTTTATGGAGACGTCGGGGGTCTTTTAGACCCCTGTCACCGAGGGACCCCAAAGAAGCTGAGGAAGCAGATATCTGCTTCCCCAGCTTCTTCTCCTGGCTCTAAGAGCCGGAGACTGTACACAGTGACACCGGAAGTGATGTAATACACATCACTTCCGGTCTAGTGATCGGAGGAGAGATCAGCGGCCGGGAGCCTGCTGATCTCTCTCCGATCAGTCAGGGGAGACCCACCATGCCGGTCCCGGGTCCGCACGGGGGACAGCTGAGCCCGGGGAAACCGGCAGGGGTGTCCAGAGAGCACCGTCTTAGGTAGTTGTTGCCAGAACAGGGGTACCCATTGAAGCATTCTACTCGCTACTACTTCTCATGACAATACTTCTCATGACAATTATAAAATGTAGGATTTCCCCTTTTCTTTTCCTTTTCTGTTGACAACAGTCATTAGGAAAAAGAGGGGTAATCGCCTCAGTTGGAACACAGATTACACTAAAAGAGGAAGAGGATCTAACCATCCCTCACTCAGTTTGTTGCCCCCACAACAGTGAGCTCAAGAAGGGTCATTTTTCATCCACCCTAAAATCTCACTATAGGGATATGTTCTTGCTTATCAGTTCACTTTGTGTTAACTTGATTAACTTGTTATAGTTTGGTTATAACACACTGATGCAGGTACAAGACTTAAAATTCAACTAACCTAACATCAAAAAGCAACTTTTTCCTTTACCCAAATAAACTTTATTATGGGTTATGTCACCCTTTACTAATTTGTAGAGTGATTTCATATACAGGACACTCGGGTTGATTTACTAAATGCAAATAGGCAGTTCACTTTGCAAGGGAATTTTCCCTTAGCTTAGTGAATAAGGTAAAACTTCCTAGAGGACCTGGTAATGGTGGTAAGCTGTGCAAGTGGCAGATTCACTAGTGACCTGTTTCAGCAAAGTGACTGTCATGCTTGCCATGGATTTTTTTTAAATGACCCTGTTGCAAAAAAAAAAATTAAAAACGCCTGCAGCTCTTTGTGTTTCCTACCCTCCACCGTTGGGTACAGTCATTGATGCTGGTGGGAGGTACTGCAGTGCCCGATGGAGATCATGTTATTCAACAAACCTGTCAAGTAGCAACCTAGTAGCTCTGCATGTGGTCAAATAATGGATATGCTGCCCACAGGACAAGTTAGTATTCAACTTATTTTTGGGGTTTTTTTTCAACCTAGCAACAGGGTCACGGATTTAAAAGTCATGTATGGAAGATGCAGCTATGTGGTAACAAAAGAATGCAATACGACTGTTGTCTCATTAGGTATCATGGAGTCTGGAACACAAGAATGCACACTCTGGCATCTATGAAGTAAAGTTCTTTGATGAAGAGTCCTACAGCCTGTTGAGAAAGGTGAGTGGCTGACAATGTTTTTGGCTTTATTTCTTTCTAAACAAATGTGTTGAATTTTCTAATGATTCTTGTAATGTACAGGCTCAGAGGAATAATGAAGACTTTTCCACCATCAAGCCTCTCTTTTCAGTTAATGTTGATCACAGGGTAAGCCTAATTTAATCCTTTATAGGCAAAGTCAATCAGTGTGGTGCCGATAATAAAATAAATTTATTTAAAAATCTTTTCAAGAAACATAGTTTATTACAGTTTTCAAATATTTGTATTTAGCATTTTACAGAGAATGGTAGTTTAATATATATAAATTTTAGGGATGCACCGATACTGATACAAGCATCGGTATCGGCCGCGATACCGAGTATTTGCATGAGTACTCGTACTCGTGCAAATACTCCAATACATAAAACGAGTACCTGTGCCGCGTCCGCCATCTTCAGGGACCCGAATCCGCCGCACACAGGACCTCCATCGCGTCTTCAATGAAGCAAGATGGCCGCGACCTCCTCTGTCATGTGCTCCATTCTGACCTCTACCTAAATGCACCAGTTAACACCAACACTAGTTCAACATCTAAAATTGGTTATTGCAACAACCCATTCACTCATAAAACACAGAAATGCACTCTGAGGATGAGCTGATCAGCATAATAAATGGTACCGGATTAAACTCAAAAATGTTTGAGGAATTAATTTTTGAGTTTAATCCGGAGATACAAGCCTTAGTTAGCAATGGATGATAAATATTCATTTCATTATTCAATGTCTTTAAAAAAAATATTATAAACGTTATAATATTTTAAAAAAGACATTGAATAATGAAATGAATATGTATCATGCATATTGCTAACTAAGGCTTGTATCCCCATAGTGGGTAAAATAGATGGATCACATGTCCAGACCCCAGAACAGTGTATTATTGTATAGTGTGGCACAGCTGTATCCAATTCTGCATACCTGGCTTTATATTATAAAGTTCTTATAATATAAAGCCAGGTATGCAGAATTGGATATAGCTGTGCCACACTACAGAGTGTTCATGTTCTTCATAATATTAAGAAACTGACCTAAAATCATGATTTTGTATTGCTTTAGAAAAAATTTGACCTGTCCCTTTAAGAAAAAGTATCGGTAATTGGTATCGGCGAGTACTTGAAAAAAGTATCGGTACTCGGCCTTAAAGTGGTATCGGTGCATCACTAATAAATTTAAAGTTGACGTCTGTGTGTTTAATGCATTATTGGCTTCTTTCATCTGTGTGGGCCTCCATCTGCATTATCAATATCTCCCTGCAAGACACCTTGAATTTGCTCCATTTAAACTTGCCCGACCAAGCCACAGAGACTTATTACATTCTCTGTAATTAAAATTAATCAATAATCTATCTAGTGGTATCTTGTAACGACTAACTGCCTGTTCATACCGTGGCCTTGCGTTAAATATGTGCGGTACTATGCACTAGATGCATTGCATTGCCACGCCAATGCACCTCCCAGTGGATGTGCATTGCAGCAATAGTGTTGTGGTAAAAAAGTTGAATCAATACAGTTTCTTCAGACTAAGAAATTCATCTTGCTGGTTCAGCAATACAGCTTTCTTTTACCTTTCCACCTCTAGTCTAGTCCAATCCAGGAAGGTATTTCTGGCTATAGAGGTGTGCTTATCCAGAAATGGCTTCCCAAATTATAAATCCTTGGTCAGGTAGAAAAAGCAAACGTGTGTGTGTAATATGTATTTAGCGGTTTGGTTGGGGGTACACTGAAATTATTAACGTTTTGTGGTGGTGCTTTTAATCTTGTATATCTCTTCAGCAAATGATCAATATTAGCAAGTTTTTTTCACACTGTGTGCAGAAATCCACCTCTAAAGGCATACTACTCACTAAGGTCTCCTTCTTTCTGGTAGCACTTGAGGTCATGTATTTTGAAGCTTTTTTTACAGTTCAAGCAAAATGTATGCGCCGAAAAAAAACTTTGGCAACATTTTTCAGCTCTGTCGCAAAACAAAGCAATACTAAAGAGAAGCAGTGAGACAGATTTTGAGAGAGACTCTATAAAGTTACAGCTTGTTTCATACATTCCTCCCTCAGCTGTTTTAACCACTTGCCGTCCACCCGTTGTAAAAAAACGGACGGACGGCACTGCTGCAATGGCGGGTTGCCGTCGCTAGGCGGCATTTTTTTTCTGCTCGCGCGCGCCCCCTAGCGGGCACGCACGGGCAGAAAAGACCCGACCAATGCAAATACCCGGTAACGGGTGTTTCACATATAGGCGATCAGCGGCTCCATTGCCCGCCAATCGTCTATATGTGCTCGTTTACAACGCCCCCCCGCGCCGCCGGTTCCCCCTGACCCCTCACCTTGAATCCCGGGATCCGCTGCCCCATCTTGAATCCCGGGACCGGCTCGGAGGGCGTCAGGAGGAAGAGGACGGGAGATCAGCTCCTTGCTGATCTCCGTCCGGGCTGTGAATGCAGAAGTGATGTGTATTACATCACTTACGCATTCACCTGTCAGTCATCTGGCTGCTATAGCCAGAGAGAAGAAGCTGATAAAGCAACGCAATTTTAAGGCTTGACATTTTTGGTGTCTTTTTACCCGACGTGACCCCGTCTTTTAGATTTTACCAAAAAATTGGGTAGTAATAAATGTTTTATCATTTAATATAGGGGAAACTGTTTTTTTTTTTAAAACATTTCGGTAATTTTTCCTTTAATATAGTAAATGAAAACCCCAGTGGTAGAAAAATACCACCAAAAGAAATCTCTATCTGTCCCCAAAAAAGGGTATAAAATGAATTTCAGTACAGCGTTGCGTGACGGAATAAATGTCAGTCAAAGTACCGCAGCGCTGAATACTGAAAAATGGCCTGGATGGGAAGGGGGTTTAACACCGCGGATGTCAACTGGTTAAAGTAGCACTGTAAAAGAATGAAACCCAACCCTGATCACTTCTTAATTGTGCGTCTGTTTAGAGTGCATCTCAGACAATTGCAGTTGGCTGCATTCCAGGAACAGGGGTCCTCTCCTCACAGCAAGTAGGGTGGCGCCCCCTGAGGTTATTGGCCACGGGCTAGAGCCCGTCCCACACCCATATCCCAATAAATTGGGGAGCTAGAATTATGAACTTTGTATTCGTCTGGGAGATTGTATCTAAGAACGCAGCTTTTATAGATTTGCGGCGTTCTCTCGCCAGCAGGATATACAATACTTCCCAACGGTAAAGTGCTTTGTGTTTTTCTCCTATTTTATTCCATGTCAGTAGTTAACGTTTTTTGTATGTCATTGTCTTTCTTTTTATTTTTGTACATACGGTATTTCCATATGCACTGCTCGCCTAGGGATATTAAACTATGAAAGGAATAAGTGGCCTTCTGTGTACTAAACTACGAATTCATCCTCCTAGAGAGTTTGGTCATTGTTACTAGTGTCTGTACGCTCGGTTGTAAACTCACTGTTAATCTGTATGAAATTGCATTGTTTGATTGTAGATTGAATGCAGATTAGTGTCAGTTTGTTTGTTAGCATATCTGCCAGAGAGGGGGGTGTGTGTGGTTTCCTAGCAGAACTAAGGAAGGAAGAACTGCAGGTGGTGGCAGACTACCGTGAGCAGTGGGAAAGTGGTAGCACAAGGATGTGTCTGTGTGTTCAGTAACCTAAACCTGGGTGAGTTGTCCTCCAGCTGCGGGCAGCGGTATTGCATTCTGTGACGATTGTTTCACAGGAGTGTTTTATCAGCACAAAGTAAGCGATTTCCCTCCACCGTCAGGCAAGGACCCCGCTTTGGTTAGTGAATCGCTGCGGGCGGGCCCCCTTCTGTGATATTCAGGTGGCAGCAGTGGGTAAGCAGCTCTTCAGTGCACTGTGCCATGATTGGGCAAAGTCTTGCACCTGACCAGTGGTCAGGTGCAAGGCTTTACCCAATCAGGGCTTCACAAGGCACTGTGCAGTGCCCTGATAGTTTGTGTGTTCACTGAACACATGAATTAGCGCAGTTCGCGTCGAACTCTTGTACGCGTCGAACTCTTGTTCGAGGCGAACATAGAACCCATCACTACTTGTGATAAGTTATATTGTATAAGAAGAGCACTTCTATTCCTCATAAGCGAATTAGTTATATTTACTCTCATGTCATTAACACTGATTGCTACGAGATCTCCTTCTATACAATACAACCCTGAGACACATTCTCTGGATGCACACAGGATGAGAAGAAAGCTTTAACCCTTTTCTTTGCCTGTCATTGTTTGAAAACAGACTTTCTTTTTTCCTACAAGAGTAATTAAGTCATAAGAATCTGTAACGTTTTCTATTCTTGCTGAACATAAAGTGTGATTATGATAACAAGTAGGGATGCACCGATACCACTTTTTTAAGGCCGAGTACGAGTACCTATACTTTTTTTCAAGTACTCGCCAATACCAATTACCGATACTTTTTCTGAAAGGGACAGGTCACATTTTTTCTAAAGCAATACAAAATCATGATTTTAGGTCAGTTTCTTAATATTATGAAGAACATTATAAGAACTTAATAATATAAAGCCAGGTATGCAGAATTGGATACAGCTGTGCCACACTATACAATAATACTGTTCTGGAGTCTGGACATGTGATCATCTATTTTCCCCACTATGGGGATACAAGCCTTAGTTAAGAATTAAATATATCCTTTTCCTGATTAGACAAACAGATCACTTTGGATTGAAAATGTAAACAAGATGATAGATCTAATTGTTCTAATTCCAAACTGTTTACGTCAAAAGCAAAATCTGTGTATTGTAACTGATAAAATAACAATTGAGTTTCACTCGCAGGTAATTGAGTGTGACTCGCAGGAAGTATTATAGCATTCATTTTCATGATTGCAACCTATCCATTTATTTACCCATAAATCTGTATGGTTTATTTCGAATTCTCTGGGTAAACTTTGTACAATTCCTTGGAGTTATTCCACTTTGGAATGCTTGAGCCATTATCTTAAAATTAGTGGAATATTCTTTCTGAATCTCCAAACATGCTCTGGCTATATGGGAATGTTGTTCACCAGTCATTAAATCTAAAGAAATATCTTGTAAGTGAGTGATAGACGGTCCTATAACTGTGGCCGTTTTCATCACCATATCTTCCAAAATTTGATTTACATTTCTTTGAC